TTATTTAATAGTAGTCGAAAGACTTTTAAATGGTAAGGTATACAGTTTTTTACATTGTTTTAAAGAAGATAATTTTAAAAGGTAGAATACAAAATTTGAGCGAAATCGGTCGAATTGATCGTAAGAAACCGAATTTTAAAAATACGACTTTATTTTCATTAATTAAAGAATTATTATGTGGTCTTTCTTCCTTAACAATTTGATGCAGAATTTTTATTAAACATATTTTTTATACTGTACATTACATTAATTATACATTACATACATTAATATCTCACATGTTAACAAATGCTATTAGTTATCATCATAACTGAAAACTTAAATACTTTTATGACATGTTTTGTTTTGAATACTAAACGTTAAACAAATTTTATAAAAGCGTTATTTCGATCTGGCACGCAGGAGTATTCAAAAATGAATAGCAGCTACTAACAAACATATGAAAACTAACAAACATATATTCAGAAAGCTACTAAGCAACTAACAAACTATAAGCTATAAGCTACTAACAAACATATATTCAGAAAAAAAATTTAGTTGTCTTACAAGCATCTTTTCGTCAATATACATCACAGCTCATTAAAATATATCGTATGCTGACGAATATTCTTCAGCTATTGACGTTACTTACAGTATGAATTCTTGTTTAGAGAAAAATTCACAACATATTAAAATATCTCATATGTTAACAAATACTCTTAACTATTACCGTAACTCAAAACTTAAATATTTTTTAGTCAAGTTTTTTTTTCAAAACTGAATGTCAAAATAAATTTTTACCAATCTTCATTTATGTCCGGCACGTAGGAGTATTCAAAAATAAATAGCAGCTACTAACAAATATATGAAACACAATTCAGAAAAATAATTGAGTTGTCTTACACGCATCTTTTCGTCAATATACATCACAGCTCATTAAAATACATCGTATGTTGACGAATATTCTTCAGCTATTGACGTAACTTAAAGTATGAATTCTTGTTTAGAGAAAAATTCACAACATATTAAAATATCTCACGTGTTAACAAATATTCTTAACTATTACCGTAACTCAAAACTTAATTTTTTTTCAAAATTAAAAATTAAATAAATTTTTACCGATCTTCATTTCTATCCGGCACGTAGGAGTATTCGAAAGTGAATTCGCAGCTACGACCAAAAGTACGACACAAAATTCAGAACATTAATTAAATGGTTTTATACGCATCTTTTCGTTTTTATACACCATCGCTCATTAAAATATGTTAACGAATATTCCTTAGCTATTGTCGTGATTCGAAGAATAAATCCTTATTCCGAGAAAATTCAATTAAAAGCAGAAAAAGAAACCAAAAAATCTTAGAAACTGAAAATTTGGTAACATCCTTTAGTGCATTGTCAGTAGTTCTAAAAAGATTTATGTCCTTCGTCTTTTTACTACCTAATCATTCAACCATTTTAACGTTTCTACGTATTGTAAAAACCCTAGTTTCAGACATGTTATGACATATTATTGACTACAACTGCATAAAAGTTTGTTTTATTTGGTGTAGTCTTTTTTATCCAACAATTTCAATCACTTCCTATAAGCTTGGCTATTTTTTATGAGGTAAATTGTACTTGTACGTGTAGTAAATGTTAATTTTAGCCTGACCCAGACGATAAACTTAGTCCTACTTTTTTATTTATAGTTATAAAGTATTTGTATCTTTATAACAGGCTATCAATTAATAATAATTGATGGCATGTTATATTGAAATAGTACATTTTGAGAATAGATAAGGCTTAGTTAGATTACTGGAACAGTGATTGGTTAAAACTTGCTGACAGTTTTTCCAATACGGAAATATTATGTTTGTTTCTGCAGCGCTGGCAAAACTTTCAAGATTTATTGGGTTATTTTAATGGTTTCTTTTTTCTAAAAAAAACAATCAATTATTTTTTGATTAATGTCTTCATATTTTTTTCAAATTATGCACACAACTTACCTTGTATAGATTAAGCTGACATACAATAAATAAGATTTCTAGTATGAAAAATAAAAATAGTTCGTTTTTAAGGTTCACTATCCCCTAAAGTTTTGGATATGAATATATTGCTTTCGATCAATTTTTTTATAAGAATTAATATCCTGATTAAGGTATGCCAAAACTTTGCTTCGTAATAATTAGTCGCACTATTATTTAAATCTTGCTATATTGTCAGCAATGAAATCTTTACTTTTACACTGTTAAAACTTTCTTTGAAAAAATGGTTATATAATAAATTATTTAATTGTTGTTTTACCACATTCGACCAAAACAGTCAAATAACCTTGAAAAATGGTATTCAAGCTGTTAACTGTGGAAAGAATCGGTTATTGACTGTTTTCACCTTACATGGTTCAACAACCAACATATTATCCGCGCCAATTAGGCCCTCAGCCTATGAGAATTGAGAGCACGTTCTTTGAAAGCTAGAAGCTAAGTCATATGACAAAGATTCATTTTAACTTTCTGTCATCAGATGCCCAATAATTTTGTAGTGGCAAACACCTTATGAAGCCATTTGGATCCTTGCAGCTGGATATGTACTTCAGCCGAGCTAACTATCAATCTCATGATCAACTGAAGGAAGGTTCGAATTCCAGCGTTGACATTACAATATTTCCTCCATTCCATCAACATATGAAGAGCTTTCAGTTCCCTGCACTCCTCAATTGGTGACCCTTGACTATTGAAGAACGAAACACTTACTCACACATAGATGGCAGCAACATAAAATAGCTTAACACAAAAAAAATCTGGTATTTCAATTCTCTCACGTTAGGTGGCACCATTAGATAACCACTACCTACCTCCCCCTAATGAAAAGTTTTTCATTACTTAACTCCAATATCCAGTTAAATTTGCTTCTACAGTTTTTAGCTCATGTTGTAAATGGCTACAAGACCTTAGAGTTTTGTACTCATGTTTTTTTACCATACCAGTTGTAAACGGTTTTAAATCCGTAAACGTAAGGAAATGTTCCTGCACGTAAACGTTATGGTTAATTGAATGGACAGACTGCTGCCGCTTGTTTTACCAAAATTTAAGGATGAATATTCTGACAGTGTACTTAAGATACTTTTAAAATAATGGAAACCCTGAAAACTCAACTATTATTAAAAAAATTGTAAGGATAATTTTGTAATTCTTGTAATAAATCAACATTTGATGTAAGATAAGATTTGTTTGGATTCTCTAAAAGACTTCTATCAGAAATATTTTTAAAAAGTATAAAGTTTTTATAAGGTTATTTCAAAAGAGAACTTTAGCGTTAGAATGTTAGTTTAAAAAGTTATTTTTTAGTACTATTATTTTATGAAAAAAGATACCAAGAATAGTTATGATATCTTCAAGGTTTTCGATTGCTTTATGAATAGATCTGTTTTAAGTTAAAGTAAAATTTTGTTTTTAAAATGTTTTATACTTTTTTGAAAAAGCGGCAAATATGTTTTTTTTATCATGAATGCCTTTAAATTATTTTAACTGGTGAAAAATCAAATTTTGTTAAAAACACGTATACTATGTTTTCACACGTAACCTGTATATGAATAGTATACTTACACGTATACTATTCATATACAGGTTTTTCGCCGAAATGAAAAGATTCAAATCTTAAACAGAAATTAAATCAAAATTAATGCTTGAATTAACTAAAATACACGATAAGGGCAATAGCTCAAATTTCTGTAAGCTGTTTTTTTTATTTATCAGATTTGAAAACTTGATTTTTTTTCTAATTCAACTTTGTTTTCTTGGAGTTATAGAATAAATTTTAATTAGAAAGTCACACATGCAGTTTATTTATTTGATTTATAATCCTAAGATGTTTTCTAATTTAACTTTTGGATTAAATATCTTAAGGGAGAGAATTGTCTTTTATGAAACACATGTTCAAAATAAATTACTGACCTCTCATTAGTACATTTATTGTTTTTTTTAAATTTTCTAAGAAATGCTCTAATTAATAAAATCTCGAATGCATATAATCTTTCATTCAAGAAAAGAAAGGTAGTTCCTTACTTAATTTAGTAAACATTACAGAATTTTATTTTCTAAATCTTTCTTTAATCAAAATAACCTTCTTTGGAGGTAACTACCAGGTCATAAATTTGCAGCATTTTATTGGTTAATAGTTTTTCTAAAAATTCGGATCCAATGTTATTCCAAATACATTCAATAATATTTTCATATATCTGGTGCACTTGGCTCAATTATTCAACCAAACATCATCACGATTTTGCGTACTATGGAAATATGGTACATTGATGGTACATACGTAATATGATACATGGAAATATGGTGCTAGGTACATGTGTATGGTGATCAAATATTTGATCTATTTTATAGACAGAGTGCTAAATATTTTTTTCAACTGATTGCTCGATGCAGAAAAAATAGGATTAGTTTAAAAGACAAAAGCTGTGTAAATATTGTAGTTCTATTATTTCTCAAGCTTTATATAAAAAAATGAATCAATAAATAAAAAAAATAGGAGAGTAATTAATTAGCAGTAATGAATACAATAACGTCAGTAAAAAAATGCTTCATTTTAAAGATTGCTTTTTGTTAGAAGCCACATACAAAATTATGCATATGCTCTATGTTACAAATGGTCTTTGGTCTTCTTTTATGACGTGAAAATTTTTTAAAACAAATGCACAATTGTTTTAAAAATTCAGGCCAAAAAAATTTTTTGTAATTAAAACCTTGGGCACTATAAAGAATATTTTGTTAGAAATCACTAAAAACAATTATTTTGTATATGATTTTGATTTATTTCCGTTCTTAGATGTTATAAATAGTGTTCTTATAAATCATACAAGCTATTCATAAAACTTATTCAGACACCAAATATGTTTTTCACTTGAACTTTTTTGACTTATTAAAAATTGTTTTTGTTACATATCACGCTTACAATTTAAACAGTTGATATCTTCATCCTCATATTCAAAATGTCGCCAACACGCAACTAAATTCTGAATAATATTCACATACCTGTTTTTGTAACATGATGAAAATGACAGAATAATAGAAAAATACTCAGGTGTAGATAACATTACTAATCGCGTTGAAAAGGAGTTGTTCTTGAAGAAAGAAAAAGGCGAAAAACATGCTAAGTAATAAAATATTCTACCGTATTTAAACAGTGGTCTAATAATCTCTGTAATAGAAATCGTCAAGTTCTTTTCCTTGGGTTATTAATTGGAACGTGTGCCTGTTTGATCACGTGCTTGATATTTATAACGATAAAACTTTAATAACTATTTTAAACATTGAGGCACAGTCAAAACACGCTTTTAGAAATCATTTAAAATTCAACTGGGAATGTTTTTGAAATGTTTTGCTTCCTTTTATCATAATTGAATTGTTAACACGTGTTTAATAATTTTAATTACTCTTTCAAACACTGGAAGTTTAGTCAAAAAAGCTTCTTAGTAAAAATCTATTAAAAGACAAAGGGTAGTATTTTTGCAAAAATTTGCTTCCTGCTATCTTGTTTCCTACATGATTGAGTTGTTAAGAAAAAGTGTGCCTGTTTGATCACGTGTTTGATATTTATAATCATAAAACTTTAATAACTATTTTGCACATTGAGGCACAATCTTTTAGAAATCATTTAAAATTCAACTGGGAATGTGTTTGAAATGATTTGATTCATAATTTAATGTAATTTTCTTTTTAACATAATATCATAATTATGTTAATATTTTTTAACAATAATTTTTAACGTAATATCTTTTTAGCATAAATCATAATTTAATTTTTAGCAAAAATGTTGAATTACTTTCTTATACATTAAGGTTTAGTCAAAAAAGCTTTTTAGTAAAAATCTATTAAAAGAGGAATGGTCGTATTTTTGTAAAAATCTGCCTCTTTCAATCTTGTTTCCTACATGATTGAATTGTTAAGAAAAAGTTATCACGTGTTTGATAATTATAAAGATAAAATTTTAATTACTCGTTCAAACATTGAAGTACAGACAAAACTAATTTTTAGTAAGAAGCATTTAAATATCAAATAGAAATATTTATGCTTCCTTTATCTTTGTCTTCTACATAATTGAATTACTGACAAAAAGTTAACACGTATTTAGCGTTATAAAGATTGGAAAAGATTTTTTTTTACATATTGCGGTTTACGGCTGTGACAGCCTGGCAGATGAGGCGTTGGGCTCATGTCCAAGAAGTTGTGAGTTCGATTCCCACCGACCGAAGACTCCCCGCGGATAAATGGTGACTGGTGCACGTTAAATCTGTTGGGTCACAAAGTCCTCCATGTTCTAAAAACATACTTTCCATAAAAAAACCTTCCCATACTTGTGGGGTTACTGAATTGGAGATTGATAGTTCTCTGGTTCAGGTCAAAATTGCTATCTGTGGATGAATAAATGGAGATGAGAATGGGTCCCCCTTGTAAACGAGCTATGGATGAAGTTGTATTTTCGGTCATAAATGGCGCCACTGAAAAGCAAGAAAGACACCCACTGCCTTAAATTCGCTTGGTTTTGCCAAATAGGTTTGCTGGTATTTGACAAGTCTCATTAGTAACAACAACAGCACATATTGAGGTTTAGTCAAAACAAGCTTTTAGGGAAAAGTATTTTGAAGCTAAATGCGAATATTTTTAAAACGAAAAGCTTCCTTCATCTTTGACTTCTACATATTTGAATCGTTAAAAAAAGTTAACATGCGCTTGATATTTATAAAGGTAAAACTTTAATTACTATTTTTTACATTGAGGTTTAGTTAAATCAAACTTCTTAGTAAGAATTATTTAAAAGACAAATGAAAGTATTTTTGCAACACTTTTTTTCCCTTCTAGCGTCTCTTAAATCATTGAAGTGTTAATAAAAAGTAAACACGAGTTTAATAATTATAAGGATAAAACTTTAATTACTATTTTGCTTATTGAGATTACAGTAAAGACAAGCTTCTTAGTAAAAACCCTCTGATAGACAAATGGAAGTATTTTTGCAAAAATTTGCTTCTTTTAACTTTGTTTCCTACGTTATTGACTTGTTAAGAAAAAGTTAACACGTGTTTGATAATTATGAAGATAAAACTTCAATTGCACTTTTATATATTGAGGTTTAGTCAAACAAAGATTATTAGGAAAATTTATTTTACTTTATCTTCTACATACATAAAATGCTAGCAAAATATTTATTCGCTTTTGATATACAAATATCTAGCGCGTTTGATTTATAAAAGATAAAACTTTAATTAATTTTTTAAACATTAAAGTTTAGTCAAAAGAAGCTTTTAGTGAGAAGCATTTGAAGTCAAATGGAAATATTTTTGCAACGATTTGCTTTCTCTTTTCCAAGTAAATAAATTGTTTAAGAAAAGTTAACTCGTGTTTGATTTTTATATGGATTAAACTTTAATGACTGTTTCATACATTTGAAGTTTAGTCAAAGCAAGGTTTTAGCAAGAGTTCTTTAAATATCAAATAGAAATATTTAAGTGAAGATTTTCTTCCTTTAATTGTCACTTACATAGTTCAACTGTTAACAAAAAGATAATGTGTCCAAAAGATTTTAAATTGCTTTGTGTGAAAAGAAATATAGTTTTTTGTTAGCAGACGCATCAATTAGAGCAAAATTTTTAAAGGGTATCGAAAAAAGTATGATGCTACAATTGCGGGCTAAATTCTCTAGCCAGCATATTGTAATGATAATTTTATTATAATAAAATGGATATTAATTGCGTTTCAAAACAGCCTTATGTTTTCAATACAGTGCAGTTTTTACATTCATTTTTTAAAAGATTTATAAAGATGTGTAAGCAGTCGAAAGCTTAAGACAGTTATAAAAAATAATCTGATCAGAGCTCACCACTCTAATTCGAAAAACGTGTTAAACGCAAAAAAGGATTAAGTCGCAAGCACGCTTAGAATCTAGGTTAAAACTTACTCGAGGAAGAAGCCTACGCGAAAAAAAATAACTATTTATGTGTTAAAAATGAATGAATTTAAGAAAACGTTTATGTATAAATTCTGCTTAGAAAATTCTTTTGAAGCAACCATTGTTATGTTCGTATTGCCTAACAAATGTTTAATTTACATCGAAAAGGACTTAAGTTAGTAAAATTAGCTTATTTTAATTTAATTGTAATCATTATCAATATTTTAATTTTATTAAAAATATGCGGATCGTTTGCAAACAAATTATTTTAATTAGAAAATTTGAAAGAATTAAATTTTCTTGTGAAGAAAGCTTACTCATCCAAAATGTTAATGCATTAGAAAAGAAAATATACGATTGATGAAAAGGTTTTTTACGGTACATTGCGCAGTTTGCTAACAGGATTTACGACAGCTTTTTAAGTTTAACAGACCTTAATTTACAGACTAAATAAGCTGCTCAGACATATTTAGTTTTCTTAAAAACTGAAAAAAAATTAATCAAAGTTAAGTTTTTTAATTGTTTACGGAAGTTTACATTTAAAACTTTTTTGTTTAAACTCCAGATCAAATATAGCTTTGTAATAAATATATGTGCTATTAAACCGCTTTTATAGTTTTATGATTTATTTATTTGAAGAAAATTGAAATATGCAAATTTTTTGTATTGTGGTTTCTGCATGTGACCATCTAAGAAAATCAAAATTAAGATTGATCAAAAGAAAGTAAATGAAAATAAAAAGAACACGAATAAAAACAAAATATTATTTAAAGTTATGTCTGTTATTAAATAAAATTATTATTTAACATCAATGAGTTACGACGTTAAAAAAATAAACCAAATACCTGCATTTTGACATTAAATAATTAAATAAAAGATAAAAAACAGGAAAAAAAAGAAGTAAATGCAGTCAGAAAGAAAAGAACGTGAAAAGGAAATGTTGCCATATAAAACATGTATATGATTGCTTTGGTACTATAATTAAGCACCTTATTGAGTGTCGAAAACACCAATGTGTTACTAGTAGAAAAAGAAACTGAACGCCTGTATTTCGACACTTCATAAAAGAAAGAAAAGAAAAAGAAATAAATTGAGCCAAATATGAAAGAACGTGAAAAAGTACAAATAATATCATATAAAACGCGTATATAATCGTTTATGAGGCACTATAATGCGCGTATATGAGGCACTATAATGAAGCGCCAGTGTCGAAGCACAGGTGTGTTACAACTCTGAGACACCGTACACTTGTCATGAAATAAGAATAATTGTTAAAATAAAATAATGAAGAGTGAAAAAGAAAGTGAGCGAAAAAATACGATAATATGATATAAAGTACGCATTCTGTAATGAAGAACTTCGTTCAGTGTCGGTACACCAAAGTGTCAGGATGTTAAAAAAGACACTGAACGTTTGTGTTTGGAACACTAAGGATTACACATTGGATGTTTTCGTTTGGCATTAATCTGTTTTCGATAACGCAGTGTCCACCATATATTTTTTTACCGAAACTAGATTTCTTTTAATTCAATGTAATTTACATGTTATGGTCCTATTCTTTTATCAAATTAAATATACAAGAAAAGAAAGGATTCTTCCCTTTGTCAAATAACAAAACAATACATATGAGGATAGCTTACTAAAGAAGAATATCTTTAATATTCGTATTATTGAATAGGCTCTTAATTTAAAATGAATAACAATAATAGTTATTAAAATATATTTGATTTAATTTTATTATGGAAAATTTCCTTCAAACTTTCCATAATTTTAATACAAAATAAGCATAAATTTTTTTTAAATTAACAACGTGCGTAATTCATATTCATGCTATTATGTTTTACAAAATATCTTATCAGATCTATACCACGTTCAAGAAGGATGAGTAGTAGCATTTAAATGAGTTTTTAAAAGGTTTCTTTACATCAAATCTAGCATTTCAGGAATTATTTATTTCCTGCAAAAATCTATTCAATTTATTATATGACGAAAATAACACACATGTTATATCAACTTTAAAATGTTCCTTCTATTTTTATTTTTAACAACTAGAGATAGTTATAAAGTGATAAAAATGATCTAGTGACTGCACTATGTTTGTTTAATGTATTTTCCAGACGATTGAGACAGCCAAATAAGCATTTTTCTTGTCCAGACATAATGAAAAGTAAAATTCATGGAAAATCCTCTCGACATTAAAAAACGAATAAATTTTTCTACTAAATATATGTTGTGTAATTGTTCTTAAAAATGTTGTGTTTGAAATATGAACTAAAACATATGTTTAAAACTAAATGTAAGAATAAGAGAAGCGTAATTTATTTATTTTACGCAATAAAATTAGCGTTTGTTTTCACAAAGTCCATCAATTATATCTTCTAAATCATTACACAATTATATTTTCCAAACAAATATAATTTAAAGTAGAACATAAAACTACTAATGATTATTATAGGACAAAAATGCTAGAAATT